CAAACCGCTTGACGACCACCGCCGCGCGCCCCTTTCCCGGCGGCGCCACGCACGTGAAGCTGCGTCCCTTTTTAAAGTTGCCGACCCCGCGGCACGGCTTCCCGCCCACCGTCGCCTTCAGCGGCGCCCGCAGATTCCACCCGGTCACCGTGATCACGTTACCGCCGCGCTTCGGCCCGCGGAACGGGTTCACGCTCGTCACCACCAGCCGCCCGGGGTTCTTTTCGTTGGGCAGCAGCACCGCCACCTTGCCCTGATACACCCGAGGCATCACCATCCCGCCCGTGGGCGACATCGCCGCCGTCAGCCCCGAGTGCTTGGTCAGCTCGAACACCGACCGCACCGTCCCCCGCCGGTTCAGCCGCACGCGGAACACCTGCCCGGCCCCAGACACCGCAAACTTGGTCGCGAGCAAGTCCCCCCGCATCTGCGCCCCAAACGTGTTCGCAGTGTACTCGATCAGCCCGTCCGTGCTCGACTGCAACGTCGCAATGTGCCGGTCGTACCCACGCATCTTCTTCTGCGGTGGTCGGTGCACGCACTGCCGCCGGTCAAACCGCCCACGGTTCCGGTTGGCGTACCCGTGAAACCCACCGCGCCGCACCTTCTTCAGCGTGTCCGGCTCGGTACTAACCGGCCCGCTCCCCTTGCAGCTCGTGCTCCGCGCACCAAACTTTGCGTTCGCTCCGTTATCTGTCGCGTAGATGTGCCCGTTCGAATGCGCCACTGAGCAAAACGAGTTTCGCAGTCCGGCCCCGTACACCCACACGTCTCCCCCGACCTTGCGCGCCGTCCCGGGGTTCTTGTACTGATTGTACCTAATTCTCCCGTTGAACCTTCTCTTCATGATCGGTGCTTGAAGCATCGCCCCCGACAGCGGCGAGTCTGGCACACCTCCGAGCGGGTCACCACGCTGACTCACCCCCGCGTTCGTCCCTCCCCCGACTGTCACCAGCAGGTTTCCATAGTGGTCAAACGTCACTCCATTCACAGAGTGGTCATGATTGGACACCGGCAACCCGGAAATCACTGTAGCTACGCGCGCAAGGCACGACTTTTTCGTCTTCTGCATTGCAACGATTTGCCCATTGTGCCATCCCTTCGTAAGCGGCAATACCTTCTTCACCCCCCAGTACAGGATGCTCGTCGACGCATACAAGCGCACCCTCTTCGTATCAGCGGGGTTGAATGCCACCCCGAGAATACTGCGCATCTTGCCCACTCTCGAAGACTTGCAGTAATTCGTGATCACGTTTCCAAAGTTGGTCGTCAACACGTGCACCACTCCGTTCAGACTCCCAATGTAGTACTTTCCATCGGGACCCAGGGCAATCGCCGTCAGCTGCGAGGCCCTAAACGCCTTTCCTTTCCGCTGCAAAAACGTGGACGAAAAGCTAATCGGTTGATAGTATCCCATCGGTCCTTTTCCACCACCTTCAACGCCACCCTTCCCACTCGCGAAATTGCCCCGTCCCACATTAAAACGGATCGCGTTGGATTTTCCAGATTTCGTCGTAACACGCAGCTTTTGCTTGCCGCTGACTCCTGGCATCACACACCTCAACACAAATTGACTCTTGGAAACTGGCCCTGCGCAAAACTGCGATCCAATCTTCACAGACTTCACATTCAGCAGACTCGTCCCGTGAATAGTGATCACATTACCCACAGACGGGTTCTTCGGAGAAATCCGATTCACAACAGGTGCATAGGATGACGGTGAGTGGGAAAGATGTTTAGCTGGAATCAGATTCCACCCCCCACTTCCTGGAATTCTCCACGATAGCGTCAATTTCGGCTTCGGACCCTTCGGATTTTGCCTCCTAAATACAAGCGCAAAACTGCGGACACCCTTAGAGAACATTATCGGTCGGGAATCAATGGCCCTGTTGCTGCCCGTCAGAATCATTTTATTCCCAACCCAGAGCGAACAAGCCGCGCCACCGCATCCAATGCGGAACCGATAATTGCCCCGCTTAAAAAAGTTTACGTTTCCAAGCAAACGCATAGAAAACCTCTGCGGGACGAGAAAAGCCGGAAAGCTCGCCTTAGAGGCAAGATTGATTATGCTCTTCGTCGTAGACTGACTGGCTTTGACACCTGCTGTCGGCCTATTGGGAGCCCATCCATTTCCCGGATAGTACCAAACCCGGACACCAGGCTTTGATCCCTTGACAACGTATACAAACGTCGTTGCGATCGCCGAATCCCCGGAATTGTCAATGACACGCAGTTTTATCGTCGTCTTGCCTAGTGAAAACTTCACAGAGCAACTTCTGCTTCCGCAAATTTTCTTGCCGCCGGCAGTCCAGCGGTAGTTGACAATTCTGCCAGTCGCTCCCGTAAATGCATTAAAGTAGTGCGAATGCGAGAGCTCCCCATTCAACCTAATGACTGCCTTTCCATCGCCGCCGGCTGCTCCCTGGTATGGACCCCCAGGGACAGCATGTGCACGGTGATCAAACCCACCATTGTTCTTCTTCGCCGCAGAAGTGAGTGCAATAAACACGGCAAAGAAACAAAAGTTGAACGCACGCCCAAAGTCCATCACGGGATCGATAAAAAAGCGTGCTCAGAACAGTGAAATAAAAAGCGTCGGCTCTCGCTTCACGTGGATTGATTAGTAGTTGATGGCTTGAGTTAGTAAAGCAAAGTACCACACTTCCGAAACTAAGTTTGGGAGACTGCAGTCGCAAAATCAGTTAAACGTAACAAAACAGCACTGTCCGGGACTGAGATGAGTATACGAGGACCGGATGGATGTGCAGCCCACAGCAGCGGTAGGGACAGGTTTGTAGCTGTGAGTGTTTTGCTCGGAGCAAAAGCCATGTCGAAGCTCGTGCAGTGGCCCATATAAAAGCGAGTCCTTCCATTTCGCATCTGGACATTGAAAGGCCCTGTGGTAAGGTGCGAAGACCCGCAATTGTTGTTGCCGGAAGGTGTAGTTCATTACAGATGGCCGGAAGGGAAAATGGGGTGATGGGGTGATGTGTGATATGGCAAAATGTCGGTCACAAGGGGCAAAGGATGGGCACAGAAAAAAAAAATGAAAGCTTGCAAATAAGTAGCAATAATAAGGCAAGAACAGCTCACTTCACTTCGTTGGAGCAAAGGGTTGGAGCGACACCTGTTCGAGTGCAGGTTAGAAGGTGAAGATCAGAAGGATGCCAGAATGCGGACCAAAAGGAGCAAAGATTGGGGCCGCGTCAGGGCACGCAGTTTCCTGGATGAACAACGTACGTTGTGGCCCAGGGATGCATCACCCCGAACCGCTCCTTCGGGACCACAGTACTGCATGCCGCGCCATCTAAGTTTGCCAGCTATGAGGATTCGTTTCGGTCTAAATCCATTGTGCAACGCATGTCGGCAAAAGCAGTTTGCATAATTATGGCCAGGCAACAGCACGTGCCCCTCCGCGCCATCAATCTGATGACAATCCAAAATGACGCAGGCTCCCCTGTCGTCAATACTACCAGGTTTTGACTACCCCCAAGGATACCACTATATGCTGTGCAGTATAGAAAATTCCCGTCGCAACACCCCAACAACGACAACCTTGGGGGCCCTACCAGACTTGACGCGTGCCCAAGGGTAGTCTCCCCAAAGAGCCGGGTGTCGCACTTTTAACTGCCCGTGATTCGTTGGCCTACTGATCAGCCAAAAGCCAGTCAAGTCAGTTCCCCACCGCGTACGTAACTCACACGGTACGGTATGCACACCCGCTGCTTCTACCGAGAGATGCAGCTGACTACACGTGGAAAGCTAAATACAACATCAATCGCCCCACCTTCCCTTCAACGACCCCTCGCGCCCGCCGTAGACGGGCAGTAGCCATAGCAGCGGATTTCCCCCCAGCGCGTGCATAAGGTTACTCACCAAGCCTCTGTCGTAAACAAGGAGCTCTTTTCCGCCCCGGTCTGCATCGGCTCGGTTTTCGGTAGTGCGCACGAGATGCTCGAGAGTGGTCTCGTTTCTGGCGGCGAGCCACATGCTCCAGGCTAGCTGACATGAGACTCCAAACGCAGCGCAAACGGACACAGCGAGGGAGATGGGCGCGGCAACGGCGCCCGCGAGCACGTCCCTCGGAGTAGAAAAATGGTGGACGTGCGGTTGATGGATGGCGCGCATGAAGCACAGCAGAACGTAGGTGGCGTGTGTGGCGGCGAGCGTGGTGTAGAGAAGAAAGAGGAGGAAAAACTTGAGATTGCGCTGGCCGATGCAGGTAGCGAGCCAGACGCAGTGGTGGTCGAAGCGGAGGATGCAAGCGTTACACGTGCGACAGTGGTGGACGCGGGCGGGTTTCGGTGCGGAGCATGGGAGGCAGTAGCGCGGCGCGGGAGGGGGTTGGGACGGGTAGAGCGGGTGCGGGAGATCTGGGCGGAGGTCGGACCAAAGAGAGGGGGGACCCGGATGTGTGAAGTGGCAGCAGAAGAAGGAGAGGAGGGATAGGAAAACGAGAGAGAGTTGCAAGGGAACGTGGTAAGTAGGGAGAGGAGGGTGCCGTGGTGGGGGGTGGTAGAGAGTGTAGACGGCGGTGAGGGAGGTTAGGAGGGTAAGAAGGGTTACAAAGAAGAGGTAGAGTCGACCTTCCCAGCGGGCGGCCCTTGATTGAAGAGGGCACGGGTGGGGAGAGGGAAGCATTGCGTGGTGCGGGGTCGCGGAAGGAGGGGAAGAGAGGGTGGGGAAGGGTGAGGAGAACGGATCGGGGAATGCAAGTGACGTCAATGGAGTGGAAGGGAAGGAAGGGGAAGGAGCGGGGGGGCCTTCCGCTTCAGGTCGGCCACACGTGTACCGTAGGAGTTAGACAAGGTTTGAAACGTGTCATGTAACCGCCGCGCCAAAATGTAAGCGAGACGGACACCGGACAGGTTACTTGTGAGCAGGACATGATCGAGAGGTGTTGTCATAAATTCCAATTCGAAAAGGCGAATTTGCAACTTGCGGCTTCCGGTCCCCACAGGGAGCGTTTCCAGTTGCTGCACAATTACATGCTGTGCGCGGCAATTACGGATACAACGTTGCCACCCCGTGCAGTCAGATTCGGTTTCGTTTCCGGTTGCCACTTGCGCTTGCGCACCGCGTTGCCAAGTGGCCATATCACATTGCCCATCTTTTCACGCTTGAATCTATTTCTCTCACTCTTGCTTCTCACGACCCCCTCCTTCTCTTTACCGCGCCCGCGTTACAGACTCCTTCATCC